AGATTTAGTTTTCTTCCTGGAAAGTCAACAAAGAAAGGTTCAGGTAATATCTTTAAATGAACATTGGCTAAATTCAACATGTATAAATTTATTAAACAGTTTAGATGATTTTAAAATTGCTGATTTTTATGCTAGAGTTGATCAATCGAGAGGAGGCTCATGTTTAATGATAGATAAAAATGTAAGTTTCAAAATTAGAAATGACTTGAAATTTCTGAATGAACCATATTGTTTTGAAGGGTCATTTATAGAAGTTAAGGAGTGGAATTCGGTCTTTGTATCAATATATAGAATTCCTGGAGATAATTTTGATAAAATATTTTTAGAAAAATTTGAGTTATTACTCGACAAATTGGCATTGGAGGCAAAATCTAAAAATGTTTTTATATCTTCTGACTTAAATATTAATCTGTTATCTGACAAAGCTAGTACCTGTAAAGTTTTTGAAATCTGTGATTGTTTTGGATTTGTACCAAATGTATTTATACCTACAAGAGTAACTAAAAATTCTAGTACTTGCATTGACAATATATTTTCTAACCTCGGAGCTAAGAATACTAGTAGCTTAGTTGTAGACATCGGTGCATCAGACCATAAAGTATTGATATTGTCATTTGAGAAAAGGTCTTCTCCAATAGGCCTACTTAGATGTAAAAACAAAGAACTAACTCGTAAATTTACAGAACAAAATTTAAAAACTTTCGAAATGGCTTTAAAGAATGCACATTATGATATTAACACACCAAATGTAAATACAAACTACAACAACTTTCTTAATACATTTCTAAATATATTTAATGAGGTTTTTCCAAAAACAGTTAATACAAGATCAAATAAAACACAAAAAAGGAAAAATTGGATTACTTTAGGAATCAAAATTTCAGCAGAAAATAAAAGAAAATGGCACCAGGAATCTAAATGGAATAGAAACCCACAATTTTTAACTTACTACAACAATTACAGGAAAACTTTCAAAAAAGTCGTTGCATTAGCTAAATTAAAGGCAAATGATGATTTTATTAAAAGGTCCAAAAATAAAAGTAAAGCATCTTGGTCAGTCGTAAAACAAGAAATTGGATTAAATAGAAAAAACTCGGACACACCGGTTGAGATCCAATTGAATGATGGAAACGACCAATATGGTAGTGCATTGGCAATAGCAAATAAATTTAACAATTTTTTTATAAATGTTTCACAAATTGCTAACCAAATGACAGATAAAGATAAATCCATTCAGCTACTAAACAATAGTCAACATTTAATTAGACTTCAAAATTCTGCTTTACAATTTAAATTTAGGAAAATTTCAGTTCAGGATCTAAGAAAAGTTTTTACCAGTCTTAGCAATACTAAATCTTCAGGTTGGGACGAAATTCCCCCCTTTATTATTAGTAGAGTTTTTAAACTTATTGAACAACCTCTCTGCACACTAGTGAATCAGTCCCTTGAGGAAGGAATTTTCCCTGAAAAACTTAAATATGCAGAGATAAAACCTCTTTTTAAAAAGGGTGATGTTAACAATCCTTCTGACTACCGACCAGTTGCTCTTTTGCCCTGTTTTTCCAAAGTTTTTGAAAAAATTGTGAAAACTCAACTTACAGATTATTTGGAACAAAATAATTTACTAAATCCATCTCAGTTTGGTTTCCGCTCAAAATCCAGTACTGAAAAGGCTATTACCAGGATGATTAACTGCATTGCGGAGGCCTTGGACGGGTCGCAGCGCACAATAGGTGTGCTGTGTGACCTGTCCAAGGCTTTTGACTGTGTTGATCATGATATATTGCTAGAAAAATTAAGTAGACATGGAATAAAAAATGTGGAATTAAAATGGTTCATTTCATATTTAAAAAGCCGTAAACAAAGAATTATATTACAGAAATGCCAAACCAAATATAAGTCAGAGTGGGGTTACACAACCTACGGAGTTCCTCAAGGTTCCATTCTTGGACCTTGTTTATTTTTAATTTATGTAAATGATTTATGTAATGTTACAAAAATGCATACTTTTCAATATGCAGATGATACTGCTTTAATCTGCACCGAACAAAAAACATTGGATTTTAAGCAAGACTTAATTACTAATGAGTTTCAACTCCTCGGGGACTGGTTCACAGTAAATGGTCTATCTATGAATGTGTCAAAGACACAACTAATTCACTTTTCAGTTGCTAATGAGAATAGAGACATTGTTGTAAATTCAAACCAAACATCAATATATTCTCAAAACTCAGTTAATTACCTTGGAATTGATATAGATTGGCAACTTAATTGGCAAACAAACATTAAGAATCTATCAAAGAGACTCAGATCAGCTATACTTGTTCTTCGGGTAATTCGACATACTACAAATTTAGACACACAATTAGCAGTATACCACGCTTATTTTTCTTCCATTATGAATTACGGTTTAACGGTATGGGGTTCTTCTAGTCATGCCGAACAAATTTTTATCCTCCAAAAAAGAGCAGTTAGAGTCTTAGCGAAAGTGTCTCGAATTACTCACAGTAAAGAGTTTTTCATTCAGTTTAAAATTCTTACTTTGTATAGTTCTTATATCTTTAAACTAGCTTTAATGGTTAAAAGTGATTTTGACACATTCATGGAAGATCAACATGCCCATCCTCACAACACTAGATTTAAAAACAATATAAAACCAGTTCAACACAGACTTAAAGTATTCCATTTATCTCCTCAGTACATGGGCCCAAAAATATATAACAAATTACCTTCTTCAATTAGGGACACTGATTCATTCCCTAAATTCAAAAAGAAGTTAAAAAACTTTCTTTTGGAGAAGGCCTTCTTCTCATTGGAGGAATATATGGAAGCTATGTAGATGTTAAGGCTCAGCAATGAAATTTATTTTAGAATAATTTTAGTATAATAGAGACTATAAAATATTGTAACAATGACAAATCACCTGTCTGAATATGATGTTATGTGATTATTGGAAAATAAATAAATAAATAAATAAATAAATAAATAAATAAATAAATGCCTCTGCAGCAACATGTAAGTTACGTACACCACTTCATCAAAATGCTGTCCTTCCAATAGTATGCCATCACCTTTTAAAAGGTGCCTGCAATATCCCTCCCCAACATCAATCAAGAAAAAATTAAGAAAAGAGACCCAGCTGTGGTTACGGGAGAAAGCTCCAGACAGTAGCCTACATGGAGAAAAAAGAAGCTAAGAAGAGGGAAATGGAAGAAGAAAAGGAAGGGCGGCGAATGATAGGCCTACGCGAAGTTAAGAAAAAGATAAAACAAGAAGGAAGAATCAACAAACGACCGACAACAGCACCAGAAGATGACAGTGACAGTGACTCCCAGGATGAAGAAATTCCCATTGTAGCCCCCAAGGACCTTGAAATCGCATTTTTGAAATCGTTATTTCATTGTGTTTAACACACTATTTGAATTGCACAACAACTAACTGCCTGTGTGTAATATAAATTATCAACTCAGTTCACTATAACCTACACTTTACCTTCCTAATCTAACCTAACTTCAAAACACTTAATAGGCCTACAGTCACGAATCCGCATAAGCCCGACTTTCCTTCCACACATGCCTAAACAAAATCATTCTGTAATAAGTTAGGCCTATTCAGTGCCGTGTTGTTTCTTAGATGTTTGTAGCACGTATGTAATTTAAATGACTTGATTGACTTAGGCCTATTTTTATTCTCTTCTCTTCAATTTCGTATATTCATTTTCATTTCAGGTTCAGTAGACCTATAGTTTTACAAGTAACAGTTAGTCCGTTACGTAATTACGTAATGCGGCAAGCAGTAGCAGACTAAGTTAGAATAGATGGTAGGTAGATAAAGGAAATCAAAACAAATTATCTTAAGTTACCTTAGTTAATATTCGTGGCCTCGGAGACATTTTTGCTATGTTATTTCCTGGTAAAAAGTGAGTCTTCTACTTTAATTACTTACAATTAACGTAATATATCAAGTATCTGGAGAGAACATTTCATAGGCTTATAAATAGGTTAGGTCAAAAAAACAAAGTACCGGTAAATAAAACTTAAAACAGCCGGCACTCTGTTAATATTTGAGAGCGCGGAAAAATTTTTGCACCATTATTTTCAGCTAAAAATCTAGTTTCTAGTGATATATAAATCTATAGGCCCTAGGCCTATAGGTTCCCATGGTCACGTTCGTCGCAATAAATACCGTACCAAATTACATCATATCCCAATGTAAATACAGTAAATAGCCTATTTGCCTAAAAAAGTATTAGCTTTTACCAGATAAGTTTAAACTGTTTAAGTAGGCCTAGGCCTATGCCTAGGCTATTTTTAACTTATTAACTTAACCTAAGATTCAGAAATTGAGCCTAGAGCTAAGAAGAGGCCTAAGTTACAGCTGATTTAGACTAGACAGATCAAGATAAATTAAGACATCGATATTTAGAATTCATAGGGCTAACATGAATAATCCAATTACACCATGATCCAATAGGCCAAGGCCTAGGTAGGCCTGAGCTTAAAAATGGTTCAATAAGTTAAGTAAGTTAAGGCTATCCACGTTATAATTCTGTAAATACATGGATCTTCAAGCTGTCTAAGCATGAAGAGAAGATTTTTTTCAAGTAATGCAAACACCGGTGATAGATACAATCCAGGAAGAATACCTATTTAATGTTCATGGCTTAAAATACCTTTTTCAGCACCGTCGGAATATGACTAATGTGCTAAGTTACCTGATATAATTAAGATTTTCACGCTACTTCTTGTGGAAACACTGATTTAGAAGTAAATTCGTGTTAATTAAATTCAATCCAGGTGTATATTTCGCCTTTTATTGAATTATAAGAAAATCTTTTCTGCAATAATATTGATGAGCCCACACAAAATGGCCGCTACTTAAGATGATTAATACAAAAATTGAAACTTTGTTGGATAGATCATGGTGCGTAAAATGAAAATAACTCTGAGTACAAAGCAATAAAATGTTATAATATAAGTTACAAATGCGTTAAAATTTACCTTAACACATCAGCAGCATTAAATAAAAGTATATTTGACGTTACTAACACACTGTAAACACTTGATCAAAAGGAACTTTTCTTTTGACTTAACTAACTGGTGTGGTGGAGCCACTGGAGCCGGCGGACAAGGGCGTAGGAATCACAATACAATATCGTTTTTCACCAAATTTAAGATCAAGTACTTCACATGACATTTTAGGGAGATTTGAAAATTTGAAGTATATTTTGTAATGAAAAATTACAATCTTGATGAACGAAACATGTAAAACATAGAGTATTTTACATTCTTTTAAGAACTACTTTTTTGTTAAATCAGCTGTGAGGTAATAGAACACGACCATTTTAATTTTCAGTTTTCGTTGTCACTGTTGTATTGCGTGGAGAAGACGATAAAGAAGGATTCGGCGGAACACTACTGATATACAAGTATACAACACATTTAATGAATAATTATGGAATCAGCATAATATTTTATGAGGTTGCGTGTTTTATAATAGGCGATATTTTTATACTTAACATTTCCAAAAAGTATGAAACTTGTGTATGTAAACAGTTTTATCAATTCGTTTTTGTGTAGTATCGGATCACTTAAAGATATAAATAAAAGGTAAATTTACCTCTTATATTTATAGTTTTAGTATGCGCACTATTTGGCCAGACAGGAAATTGATAGCCGAAGCCTCCGGACCATATAAGAGGTGCGCAGCATAATCCCTATAGAGACATACTTTTTTTAATACTTCCACTTTCTCTCCCTGATACCATATCATACACGGCCACCTTTAACTCCAAGCGTAGTAAAAAAATAGCGTAGCGAAAAACAAGATAACCTGAAAAGAAGTGAGCGCAGCGAACGAGCTCCAACCTAAAGGTGAGTGAGCGTAGCAAACGAACTTCAACCGGGACGTGATTGAGCCATGCGAATACTTATGAAGTTAAACGGGGCAAAGCCCGTGGGTACAGCTAGTAAATGTATATTCATACATTAAATTTGAATCAAATATGTGCGAATTAATCAGCTGATTTCACCGAGGATGAACAGGAAAAATGCGAACTATTTGCGAAGCATCTGGGATCGGTTTACTCTACTGCATCAGACACAACCCCCTCTTTTGACTTTTACTCAGTGAATACCATCTGCAGTGTTAGTCTCTCATTCGCTGAGGTCAGGCTCAAGTTATCTCAACTGGATGGTTCAAAGGGTGCGGCCCCCGACAACATACCACCTTCATTGTTGCGCTTCGGCTGCGATCTGCTAGCTGAACCATTGCAATTATTATTCAACCAGTCCTTGGCCGAAGGCATATTTCCTGCAGCCTTTAAGCATGGGTATGTCGTTCCCCTTCCTAAATCTGGTGATCACAGTGATATTACCGCCCTATCACTATCACTCCCAGACAGCACACTTTCTCCTCAGGACATCCCACGGATATTGCGACAGGATATGCAAGATATCCCATAGTGGTCCTATGGTCAACCTGGGATATCACAGGATATCCACAGGAATGCGTAATGTCCCCGCCCGGGGATGTCCTACGGATAAGCTCACACGCATATCCGTGGGACATCCGAGGTCATCCCAGGGTAGTTCTCGGGACATTCTCAGGACATATGGGACTACTATGGGATGTCCCTGGGATAAAGTGTGGTCTGGGCCTGAACATAAAAAACACAAAATAATATAGATTTAGTATGAAAAGCTTAATTATAAGTTTAGTAAATTGATTAAATAGTTAATAAACACAAATTTTGAAGAAAAAAACGAGAAAAAAGTTTTTGGCTCAGATGGGTCTCGAACCTGGTACCTTCACCTTATGAGCCTCTTACCTTACCTCCTGAGCTATCTGCGCTTGATGATTATAGGTGTTTTCAAGTGGTGAAAGAGTAGCCGACAGTTGCAATGGTCGCAATACTTAAAATATTTTTGATACTACAGTATATAATATGATTCTGTTAATCTGTTTAGGCCTCAAGTAGTTGAATTGTTTTTCTGGTAGTTGGAGAGGATACTGGTATTTGAATATAGATTATTTAAATACCATTAGATTAGCACTCATATAATTGATTGTTATATGATTAAAATTAGTTTTTGGTTGTTTTATTAATTTAAAGTTAGAATTCAATTCGCATTTCACAAAACTATGATAGAACTCTAGTTTTTCTGAACTCAGTGGTAGAAATATGCCAGTAAAGTTAAGTCAGCCCTTGCTAGCCACAGTATTAACAAGACATATTTTCAATCTGGGAAACCTTAAACTTTTAAAACAAATTATAAAACCTCAACATCTTAATGCGTGGAAATCTTATTTTTAGAGAAAAAAAACAGACCAAAATTATTTGTTAATAATGAAGACGGCCCAATTATAAATTCGGAATTACTGAAAATAATTACACACTGTAATATATCCAAAATTCAAAAGATTAATTTTTCGAATATTATTTTTTTATTTTTCCAATATACTTTAAATCATCTGTTTTAACTTTGTTGGAAATTAATTTATTAAGTAAATATTTACTTTTTGTACTACTGTAAACACAGCCTGAAGATGGAAACCAAGTTTCTGAAAGCGCTAGTGAAAAAAACAAATTATTATATATTGGCCTTGTTGAACATTTAAATTTAGATATACATTTCATCAGTGGTAGTATTTTTTTTCTTCAATTTGTTACCGGGACATTACAGGATATCCAGTGGATTTTTTACATGTCCCGGGATGTTATGGGACATTCTGGGATATCCTATGGCATTCGTACATATCCCGGGACTTTACAGGATATCCTGAGGTTAACTTACAAATCCCGGGACATTACGGTATATTGTAGGATATCCTGTAGATTTCGTACTCGCCCCGGGATTTTGCGGGATATCCTGAGGATAGCGTACATATCCCGAGACATTCTCAGGACATATGGGACTACTATGGGACATATGGGTTCAACAATAGAATCAACTTTAAGGGGAAAACTATAGTCCCAGACAGCACACTTTATCCCAGGGACATCCCATAGTACCTCTGGCAAGAATCCTCAGGCTGGGCAACAGAGTTGCTCGTGATGTCAACTTCTTCGCCGACAGCTACACCTCCATAAGGAGGACAACCGAAGCAACCCTGGTGGAGATGTTGGACTAGCCTCAACGCCTCTATTGTTATATATATTCTTTGTTAAACAATTTTTATTGTTGTATTTGCTCTTTGTTATATTTATTATTATATCTATTATTGTTAACTTATTCATTGTCAGATTATTTATTGTATTCTATTTAGTATTGTATTGTTCAGCTTGTTTTTTTTTATCTATGTATATTTTGTATTCCATTGAGTATTGAATTCCTAGTGGGGCCTTGATTGAATTATTGACTATTGTTCAGCTTGTTTTTCATCTATGTATTGGCTTAGCCGTTGGCACAATTTGTTTTTCAGGATTAATTTTGCCAACAGTGTCATTTAGAGGCTTCTGATTGACTATAACGAAGGTTTAGTAATTGAAAAATTATTTTTGTTCATAGAATAAAATTATAAATGCCTCAAATTCAATTTTATATTTTTTTTTATGAAATTAAACCGTAATAACCTAACCAAACCAACCAAACGTGCTGACAATGAAAAAATCTAATGAAGGTTTATTAATCGAAAAAATAGTTCTGTTCATAAAATAAAATTATAAATGCATCAAATCCTATTTTATAATTTTTTTATTATAAAATTTAACTATCATAACCTAACCAAACTAACCAGACTTGCTAACAATGAAAAGTCAAATGAAGGTTTAACCGAAAAAATATTTCTGTTCATAAAATAAAACTATAAATGGGTCAAATTCAATTTCATAATGTTTTAATTATAAAATTAAACCGTCATAACCTAACCAAACCAACCAAACTTGTTGATAATGAAAAAAATCCAATAAAAAAATAGTACTACGGGTGGGATTCGAACCCGGGACCTTCGGATCATCAGCCCAACACTCTATCCACTACACCACCGAGGCCGTTGAAAATCAACCGTATCGTTGCGGTAAAGATGTTCCCTCAGCCAATCAGAAGCCTCAAAATAATACTGTAGGCAACACTAATCCTGAAATAAAAATTCAGCTAGCCGTTGGCATGTATAAATAAATAAATAAATAAACTCACATTGTCCTTATCTTTAAAATTTACAAGATAAATAAAAAAACGTGTCATTAATTATCCTGACAGTGAATTATTATGTTTTGTTTCATCCTAAGTGAAAGATATGTGTCTTTGTGTATTATTGCATGTCTTTACGTCCTAATATGTGTAGTTTTTGAGAAAAATAAGTTTTAAGAATGGATAAAGTAAGTTATGCCCTGACACAAATGGATAAAGTTAGTTTTGCTCTGACGCCTATGGATAAAGTTGGTTTTGGAAAGACAGTATTCACTAGGATTGCATAGCACTAATCAGTTTGGTTATTGGTTTTAAACAATAAAACAAAATATTAAGATAATAGACCTAATGCTATGGCTTGTATTAACCTTATGTTCTCGTATATTTTTCTAATTGAGGTGGTACCACGATTACTAGAAAAAACCCGGTATGGATCATAAACATAAACAAAATGACGTTGTTGGCCCGAGTCCAATACTAATAGCATTGAACATATGTTTTAGCAGTTCCATTTAACCAATGTTAAATCATGTTTATTTTCGTGCCAAAAACGTAATTTGTTGATGTTTATGATCCATACCGGGTTTTTTCTAGTAATCGTGGGTGGTACTTACTGGAAAAGTTATAAGATTATAAACATACTACAGTTTCATGATTTTTTTGTATTTTACAGTAAAAGAATTACCATACAGAAGTACAGGTCATTAGACGTTCTCTGGACTAATGTTAAAATGAAAAGTGAGAAAATTACTTATTTTAACATCTTTCAAATTAATTGATTGGTACTTTAAGAGCATGAGCACCCTTCTAAACTACAAAACTGACATCTGAGCATTATTGCACTGAAAGAATGAAGATCTCAGCCACTAGTCAGACGACAGAGTCAAAATGATGACAACAAAGTCACTTGGCCGATTTCCGCCCACCGATGGGTAAGAGGATAAAGATGGTTTTGGAAAAAACACAAAATACAGCCTCCTATTTGCTATGTGATTTTTTTTTTTTTAACAGAGGGCCAGGCTTACAAGTTACCATGGGATTGCATCGCAGCTAGAACAGCTTATTGTGCACCCTCGTTCACAGGTCCTCATTCTCCGTCAAATCCCAGGTCCTTGGTGAACCATGAGAGCCTCTTGACTATGGTGACCTGTTCTTCCCTTTGATCCCCCATCAATAGTCCAAGGGATCTCATACGCAGGCCTTGTAGGGCTGGGCACCTAAATATACCTTCACAGCTTTCACAAGGTCTCTGGCTGGGGCAAGCCTTAGCGAGATTTCCCTGAAAGGACTCAGCTCCTGAACTTGCTTGACCAGCCAATCCTTTGTGGCTGCGTCAGCACAGCCTCCACCTTTCTTCCTGGGGGCTTCATTAGAGTCAGCTTTGGGGGTACCACCCTTGCCCTGCTTTTTCCCAGCATCCGAGTTCCCGGAGGAACTGGCTTTGCAGGCAGCAGAGTTAGGGTGCTTGGCAGCCCACACCAGCCTCCTCTCACTTCTGGATAGCACCTTTTCGCCTTTGGCTAAAGCATCCGCTATCCTCCGTCTTTGCAACTCACCCCTGGAAAGTCGTTTTTCGTACGAGGGATCTCATACGCAGACCTTGTAGGGCTGGGCACATAGATATACCTTCACAGCTTTCACAAGGTCTCTGGCTGGGGCAAGCCGTAGCGAGATTTCCCTGAAAGGTCTCAGCTCCTGAACTTGCTTGACCAGCCAATCCTTTGTGGCTGCGTCAGCACAGCCTCCACCTTTCTTCCTGGAGGCTTCATTAGAGTCAGCTTTGGGGGTACCACCCTTGCTCTGCTTTTTCCCACCATCCTAGTTCCCGGAGGAACTGGCTTTGCAGGCAGCAGAGTTAGGGTGCTTGGCAGCCCACACCAGCCTCCTCTCACTTCTGGATAGCATCTTTTCGCCTTTGGCTAAAGCATCCGCTATCCTCCATCTTTGCAAATCGCCCCTGGAAAGTCGTTTTTCGTTCCTTTCCGGTTTCTGCGAGCTTGTTGTCATCGTCAAATTTCAGTAGACCTTCCTCCTCCATTTGGGTCAGACTGTCTACATTGTTCTCACGAATACCGGGTATTTAAGTCCACCTCCCCAGTGACCCGATTAGAGAGGTAAGGGGTGTGTACGACTGGGTTACCCCTGGTTCCCAGAAGGCTCCGTTAAGACACTGAATATTAGGCCCCCAGTGCCACAAGACTCTTGGCACGGATCGCATTACACCTTAGTCTAGGGCCCCCCTCACTTGGTTCTGTAGGTGGACCAACACCCAGTGGCAGAAGGTAGCTCTCCGCAGTTAACAAGTGAGAGTTGGGGTTTAGGTTGTGGCCAATCTGCCGAACCAACCCCGCATGCGAGGTTTGGCCGGAACGGCGCGAAATTTTCTCCCACTCACTAAACCCCCATACCTTCCTGCTATGTGATTGATTATGTGAGTTTTCGAATGGTACAACCGAAATAAAATGAGTTTTGGAAATGACACACGCACTTTTTAACATTAAATATTAGTAGGATTACACAAGCTTTGACACGGTATCTTATAACCATTAAATGCGCCTTTTTCTGCTGATTGCAGTGATACCAACAACTCAATTTCGAAAAAAATGGATAAAGTGAGTTTTGGAATGGACCACCTCACTTGGCATAAAATACAGCTACTTTGTATGGTCGCCATTTCATTGAAAAGTATTTAAGTATTAATTTGGTGGCATAGCTAAAATTTATAAAAACTTTTTTGGGTCAATATGCAGGATATTTTAAATTTATCCTTAATAAATTACAGATTGCCATCCATTGCCATAAACCACAAACAAGTTAGAAAACTAAACTGAATTTAGTTAGTGCAGCTTCATGGCGACTAACTTTAGCCACCTACAAATCACCAGCCAATGCGGTTTGGTTACAGTACAGAAATAACAGACACTGTCATAGTTAATTATTTTATTTACAAAATATAGACATTGACAGTTTAGCAGGTTATAAATACTTAGCATTATACTTATTGATAAAGTTTGAAAATTAATTCTTATATTAGTGTTTAAACATAACGACTGTGTACATCTATGTAAACTTTATGATTAATTGAATTAAGCTTACTATCACCGGTAGCGCGTAAAAATTTAACCAGGCCTAGGCTCCGTGGGTTTGTGATAAAGGAAAGTCTCTGCACACGATTTTAAGACAAAACTTTTACTAGGCTAGGCATCCTAAACTTATAGACTGTTTTATAGTTTGCTAAATTATCACCAGACGTTATGATAATAATTAATTAAGTTACATTCTAGAGTATCCAACAGATAAGGTAGGTTTTGTTGCAATAAAATTCATTTTTGTTCAATTAGGCTATAACTTAGATCCTAGCTAGCTTTTGAGTAGGCCTAGGCCTACTTTAACTTCTTCCATATATCACTCAAACTAACAGTTTTCTCTCAACTTAACCCTTAACCGCTGCTGTGAACTAAGTTAGACTAATGTGGATATATAAATATTAAGTTATCAGCAAAACCCGGTTTTGCCCGGGTAAAATTATACAATGTATAAGTATAAGTAGTTATAGAATTTATTTTATTTTTGTTTTCATATAAATAGGTAGATACGCATATATTGGCCTACAATAAAATCTAGAAATTTTTTTATTCTTTGTAGCACATGTTTCCTTTGCAACTAAGTAGGCTACAATGTTCCAGCAATTAAATTAAGTATCCAGTTGATCATAATGTAAACAAAATGTTCTTCATAAGGAAAACATGGGAACTTTAAAAGCCACTGGGGAAGAGCACAAGGTACTTTTGCAAAAATGTAAGTTCAGTTTGCAAATCTACACACCTAGCCGAACATTTTGGTATATAATATGTCGGGTTAACTTAAATCTTATAAGAAAAAAGCCTTACCTTTACCTTTTACCTTTTACCTTGGTCCTCTTCTCCGTAGTCGTAGAGACTAGGGAATCGTCATCTTCTTTTTTTGTTGTGTTATTGTAGTGTTAATGTGTGTGTGTATGGTGTAAAGTGGGTTTATTTTAAAGCCTATCTTTGTGGTGAGCAGTGTGCTCTTCAAAGAACTCATCTAATTTGTAGAATGGTTTCTGGACTAAATATTCTTTGAGTGATTTAAAAAAAGGTTTTGGAGATTTGATTTGTTTTATATGTTCTGGGAGAGCATTAAAGATTTTTGACCCCATGATTTGGGGTATTTTGCTGGTTTTTGACAATCTGTGTTGTTGGATATCGAAGTTTGTTTTTGTGTTTCTCAAGCTATATTTGTGGCAGTTTTCCCTAAGCTTTGGGGGGTTTAGTTTTAGGAGGTTTACAACTTCAAGGATGTATAGGTTTGGAACGGTAAGGATTTTGTTTTTAACGAAGTATGGTTTACAATGCTCTTGTGGTTGTAGGTTCTCAATGATTCTTAATGCCATTTTTTGAAGAATTTGGATTATGTAGATGTAACAATCCGCCGCTGTCCCCCAGGCTACTATTCCGAAGCGTAAGTGAGATTTGAAGAGTGCGTAGTAGGCTATTTTAGAAGTATTTTTATCAGTTATAGAGCGTATTCTTCGTATGGCAAAAAGTGAGGATGATAATTTTTTCCCAAGTTTTTCCAGGTGGTTATTCCAGGTCAGGTGTTGATCAATGGTTATGCCCAGGAAAGTTGTATGAGTTGCTGTTGTTATCCGATTGTCCTGATTGTCCGATTTGGTGGTGTTTTATGTTGGTTAGGTTCAGGATACTGCTAGCTAGTTTGTGCGCTCCTTTTCTATTTGGGTGTATCTGATCAAGTCCCATACAGTCATCTGTGAGTAGGCTGTTGATGTCTACATAATTTACTTTTAATTCTGAGCACATGAATTTAATAGCTTCATTCACATCGTCAATAAACTTATCCCTGACATCTTTTCTGTATGGGATATTATTGATATACCACTCTGTGGTGGTGAATTGGCTCATTTTTGCCTCTATCATTTTCCATATTGGTCTCATGATTTGATTTGGGGTTTTAGAAAAGGTGGTGTTGTTTGATCCTATGTTCAGTATTATTTTGGGGGGAGGGTATTTGAGGTAGTGTAGGTAGCGGCTACATTCACTAGTTGTGGCTCCAGGCATTATTTTCGGAGTTATGTTAGCTTTGTGGTGGGTTTTCATAATATTTGTAGCTCCACGGAGCAGTGAATCACTTACAAATAAGGCTTCAGGCCTATGCTTGTAGTAGTGTCGGCTTGGATCAAGTGGCTGAGTTTGATGCAATAAAGCTGGGTTATCTGATTTGTGTGGGTTTGTTGCAGTTAGGTCTATGGATGGTATTTCATTTTCTGTAGGCGTATGTGCATTTTCTTCGTGCGGGTGGTTACTAGTACCGATGTGTTTCCTTGGGTTTATGGGTTTCTCTTCAGGTTTGCCGTTCACTTTGTCCTGTGTTTTCACACAGTGTTTGTTCTTGTCTATTGTAGATTTTTGAGGTGATAGGCCTAGTGGTTTAAGTGGGACATGTTTGATGTTTGTGTTTTTAACTAGGTCTTGAAAAGTTTCTTCGAGTTTATATATGACTTGCATTTTTTTTGCAATTATTTCTGAGAGCTTTAAGTTTTCTGCATTTTTTCCGTCCAGCTGTTCCTTAAGATCGTTTATATCAGTCATAAGAATTTCTATAACTCCGTTTAGTTGCAAGTCCTTATTTACATTGGTCTTTACAGAGTTTGTTGTTTGTTTGGTGTTTAGCTTCAGGCACTCTTTGCATGCCCAAGTCAAAATAAAGGTATTTGATAGCATAGCTTTGTACTGTTTGTCAGTTATATTTACACATCTGATATGATACCACTTTGGGCAGTCGCATTCCACTGCCTTGTCATTTTTTCCTATCGACACATTACATACAGCGCAGGAGGCTAGCTCTGATTCAGAGTCGTCAAGGGTTTCTGGGTTTAGTTCCAAAGATTTTTCACTTTCTGTCCGTACCATTTTTTTTTTTTTTTCTTTTTTTTTTTTTTCCTTTTTCTATGTGCAAGCTTATATGGAAGGTAAAAAGGGGGGGTGAGGGGAAATGAGGGGTCTTTGGTGGGTAATGGTCCTGAGGTGTTGGAAGGGAGGTTTGTGTTTCTTTGGTTTCAACTAGCCTAGGCCTAGCCTAATTTTGTTTAAAATTTTCCCCTAACCTATCTTAAAAAATGCTTAACTAAGTTACCTGCTTTTGTCATGACTTTTGAGATCCTATTTTCTGCTACTTAACCCATTTTTTAGGCTTAACCTAACCCAACCTAACATAACAGTAGGCCTTACTGTCACAACTGGCCTTCCGCGCGTCTCCCGCAAGCAACTGTTATCGTGTGAATTAACCTATCCTACCGTAACCTAACCTTGCGGGGCTTGAATTTTATGTTTCTTGTTTTCTGAAAACATCCTTAACTTATTAGAGCTTTGCTCGCTCCGCTCACTTATCGTTTTTTTGTTTTTTTGGAAACACATTGCATTACAGTTGTGTAGTCTGTAAACATATTTCAGCTTTTCGAAAAGTTATTCTAACGTAATGGGAGAAAAGGAAGGAATTATTAGTAGGAGAGGACTTGTTAAGAAACATGCAGCTTTGGATTATGAGGTTTGGAAATGGAAGACCAGGTTAGAGGAACAAAATGGTTCTCAAAGAGTCACAAAAAATGAAGTACAGGCCTACGCTTTGGAATCTTACAAGTTAGCTGGAATTGAAAAATTTAAGGTATGTGGTAAATTAGGCCCTAACTTAAGTTAAAAAAAATATTTAAACTTGATAGCCTAGTAAATTAATATTGTAGAAGTTATTGAAATCGGTAAACTAGATTGTATTATATTTTCTTCCTACAGGTACTATAATATTACTAGGTAGTTAACGTAATTGAGATTAATATTACCATTAATTTATAAGTTGGTTTGTAAAAGAAATTTGTAGGGAAAACTATTATTAAACTCCACAACATGCTTAAAACCTTCAGGTTGTAGCATCCAGTTCAGTAGCTCTGCCTCTAAATTGACCTACCGGCCCTAACAAAAAAAATAAATTTGGTGCCACATTCAGGCTTTGGCGGCACTCATAGCCGATGGTAACATGGTGGATGAATCGACACTTTGCACTGACCAGGGTATAGTAAACTTATGAAAAGTTAGGTGTTTACACAAGTTTTATTTCCCTAACTTACATGTGCAATTTATATTTAGTATTTAGATTGCTAAATGTGAATTTTTGGCGTACCATCAAGTACATAGCGGCTTTGGGCCTCCACCCTCCAGGTTACCTCTGCACATGCAAATATAGAGAAAAAAATACAAAAAAATCATTCAATTCAATCAAATGTTTCCCTAACAGGATAATTCAAAGCTAGGCTACTGACCTATCTCAAGATCAAACCTTCTATAATACACGAGCAACTACAACCACTCAGCTACTATTTAAGTTCTGCAATTTGGCCTTAAGTGTATCCTTTGAAGTCCTTCTGAGAAACTGGATCACATTTTTTTTAGAAGGTTTTGCTCATTGTGACAGACTGGTGTTGATTTATGTCAGGGTGTCTAGGTGCTAGTTTCTAAGGTGCTTCAGTCCTGCCTCCTTCAGTCTTGTGCCTTCCTGTCTCCGAAGTACATGACCTAACCAGTTAATTCTTTTGGCTCTTATAAGGGCTATTATATCCAGGCTCTTTGTATAGGGCATGTAGCTCTCTATTTTTTCTTATGCACCAAACTCCTTCATTGACTAGGCCGAATAGGTATTTATTGAAGTACGGTAACTTTTTCTTAAAACAACATCAAACGTTCTTAATTTCTTTTGGAAAGAACCGATGTTTCACATCCATACAATAACACTGGCTGTAGCCTATATAACCACATCCACCCCCTTATGATCAACATAAAAAAATAGAATCTTAATTTTGAGCATCTTGATAAAAGATTTGTACAGGCCCCAACGCTCTTATTGGTCTTTGCTAGTTTACTACGAATCTCAAAAGCTTCAGAATTTGAACTATTAACAGTAACTCCTAAATTTTTAAAGCTATCCACACAATTTATTGAATAGTTAGCAATGTTGAAATTTATATATCTATTGTTAGTGTTTTGGCCAAAGTGAATAATTTTAGTTTTTTCTTAACTTAGCTCTATAATCCTACTTTCTTAAACTTAACATTCTTTAATACAGTTTTCAGCTATTAGGCAAAGGTTTCCAGAGTTTTCTGCAATATTGATTACTTGCAAATAAACAAACAAAAATAAATAGGTACATCAACAAAGACATGATGACATGACATGATTACAACACTGATTGAAGACAACCAAAAGCTCAGGCCTGTCCTCAATTTACCAATCAAGTCTTGGAATATGCTAAGCCTGGTTATATTTTCAGGCAAGTGACGGATGGTACAGAAGGTGGCGGCAAAGATGGAAAAGCTCTGATACAAATATAAACAATGTAAGTGTTGAATTGAATGTTGTTTGGTGTTCTGATTTGAGGTTTAAGGCCCACTGATGCACCTCTGTTGTTAATGTAAAATAAAACGTTTAGGAAGATGCGTCGTATTATCCATAAGTCAGACCTTTGTCCCTTAAGTTTTTTAGCATATCTCAGTGACTAACGATCTATACATTGCTATGATAATCTAATCAATGTTTTCCCCAGTGTTAAAATACATCTGTGGTTCATATTTTTGAAAAACATGTGAAACATGATTAAATATCCTTCAGTTCGGCCTAATATTGCATAATAGACTATTTTACAATGACTGATTGTCAATTTTGAAAATATTGTGGTACACACAATCTAGTCATCAGTCTATGAGTTTTGTGTAACTATCCCATCTCATAACTAAAAACCAATTCAAAACTTATTTCACAGTTATTTTTATGTTTATATTTTGAGTTAATATCCTACGTTCCTAAAAGATTTAATAGGATTCAAACAATATTTTAACTAGGCTGGGTTCTTATTAATTATTTAATAAATTAGTAACTGTTTATCTATTAACAATACAGAACAAGACCATTAAAATCAATAATGTTTGTAATTATTTGCAATTTAAGCTATTTAACAAATCTAATCTTTATAGGACAAAACTCCAATTGAAGTGGATGAAGAAAATGAAACAGCCTCAACAAGCACCGGAGATAAAGTTGCAATACAGAAATTTCCAAAAAAAAGACAGTGCCCTGAAACTAACAAGCAAAAAACATTTAAACTAATGAAAATTGAGGAAAACAACAAAAATAACAGAATAACAGAAAAACTTATAAAAAATCCTCAATATTCATTTGTGTTACCAGATGATACCACCTCATGCCAATCAGAAAAAGAAGAAACACAAGTTGCGGATGCAAAAATAAATAATTTGATATCAGATGAATCTAATCCGGATACATTCATATTAAACATGAATTTTGTAAAAGTTCAAAAACCCAAGATTTCAAAAGAACTGAATTGTAATCCGCTATCTCCTAACTCTTCAACTTTTAGTAATCCAAATACAGTCACTTCAGAACAAACATTACCGACAAATTCTTGTGAGAAAGATGAATTATCAGGAGCAGAGAATTGTATAGGTGGGCCTACTACACTTGACTTTGACAAAGTTATTGTGGTCTCGGCTGGTGAACAAGTGAGAACAAATCTCAATCAAGATGAACATGTTTACGTAAATGGTGTAGAAAAAACAGTAGAGGTTATTGAAAACGATGAAGTGGAAAACTTGTGGACATTTGTTAATCAATACCAAGTTGGTACGAGTTTGATTGACGACAATCCAGGATGTTCTCAAGCTGACAGTGGAATCTCTGTACCTTCAAGGGAAACTGTAGAAACAACATCTGATCTGCTTATATTGTCCTCAATATTTGAACATGATGAAATTAATTTCAGTGAAAATGATCATGAATTGTTTTGTGATTCTTGCGAAGACTTCCATCCTCGTCAAAAAAGTCCACACGTAGATTGTAAAAAAAAGAAAGAAATGAGAAATAATTTTCTGCTGAGCTGTGCTTTAGAAAAGAAAGAATCAGTTTCTGTTGCTAGTCTGTCGTGCGTGAATATAAAACGTGGGAGCTTTTCAACCAACAGTAGAATCAACACTGGAAGTTCTCAACTCAGTAATCCCAGTGTGGTGGCGCCGAAAGGGAAACGCTATTTACAGCAGTTTAAGAATCAAGTAGTAAACTATGCCTTAAAACACAGTGTAAAACTAGCAGGGGAAAAGTTCAAAGTCAATCGAAACACCATTGCAGAATGGCTTGCTGAACATAGCAGATATTCAGCTGAAGTGAAACATGTTAATCAGGTAGGTTTTTTTATGACAACAAAATTTAACTATGTAATGTTCAATTAGACTTAATCACACAGAAGTAAAGTACAGAGGTAATTTTATGGGACAACAGTACCCTTTCAGCTCTGGTATGTTGTACCAGAAATAAGGGCTGATTTACCGAATTGGGCATGAGACAATTGGCTTTTTTGGGGGGCCTCCAAAAATCGGGATAGCAAATTGGTGGTTGTATTTGCATGTGATCGCTGTAAACTTCTGATTCACCCCTCACGGCCGTGAAGACATCATTATATCGTCCCCCGCCCCGCGGTTGTTTGGACATAGTAATCGCCTCCCGAGGCAAAATAGTAATCATCTCCTGGGGCCATGTGGACATTATCGTAGTCTTGCGCGATCGCTGCATAATTCTGATCATTCCTCTCGGCCGTGTAGAAATCATTATTGTATCTCCTTAAAGACACCCTCGCCAATCCAGTGAATACATTAAAATGACTTGGATCTTGATAGGTACTCTCGTTTTCCTGGAGAAGATTGCGTAAAATGCCGTCTTGAGTGTTTCAGACAGACTGAAAGACAGACAGACAGAAATTTAGATGAGACTTGTTTCGGCTTCTTTAATGTATAAAACGTAAAATAACCTAAAAATTTATGATTCTGAGCAATGTACAGGCAAAACTCTAATTTTATTTATATAGATTTTACCCAATACACTAGTAAACTCTGGTGATATGGTCCTGAACTTAATCTATTTTCTTGGCTTCAAACTTTTATATCACATGGGAAGTCTATTCTGTGTATAGTCAATGATATTGCACTAAAACAAACCCAAGATTTTAAAGACATAAAAAAAAATTAGAATCTCTAGTATATTTAAATAATCTGTCATATTCTTACTGAATAAATGAGCGTATAAATGATTATATAGCATTGCACATAGTATTAGTAAGTCAACCCTTCGTAAGTCATTTCATTTTTATCCAAATGCTGAATTTGTGTCATAAACGCTGAATGTTCACAGCTGTTAAGTTAAGCAAATTGTATTATACCAAAAGCTAGAATGTTAGCGTTGGCTGCTAGATAAAAAAAATTTAAACTTAATTTCTAAAAAACTAAACTAAAATAATGGCTTCGACATTAACTAGTTCTGAAAATTATCTTTCTTTCAACACAAAATCATGAAATCCGTCAAGTGGTTGATTCAGAATCGTGAAATAAAAAAACCCTGTCACGTTTTGATATATATGATAGTAGCTCAACAGCTGATTTAAGCATACATTAAGGACACAAAGTGGTGGGGAACTTCACCTCAAACCGCCTAAATTTTGTGAACAGAGTATAAAACTGTAATTTAGTTGGATCAAAAACCCAAAACAATCTGTTTTTGTATATATTTTTCAATCCTACCAGCTTTTGATTTTAATACACATTTTATGTCTTCCATGTTTGGTGGTCAAATGTGAAAAAATTGCTAAATAAGGTGTCATATGAGACTAACAGTAACTGTATAATTATTCTTGAAATAAAACGCTCATCTGAAGAAGATTGTTCTACTTCCAAGCATTCGTTATACTGCTTCAGGTGGTTGCAAGTGATTCAGAGTTTCTGGCTTGGCTGGAGGGATCAAAGTTCAACCTGACTAATGAATTAGTAAAACAGAAAGCCTTGGAGTATTTACACACCGTTGATCACACCAACTGTCGGCAGAGTCGGTGGTTGTGGATGTACGCTCACAGGTCAGACGCAATTTTAAGTATTTCTAGTAAGCTTTTGGTAAATTTTCTCCTAGAAAATTGGCACTGGAAATTAGCATTTTATCGTAGTCTTTATAGTAAGGTCCTATGTTTGGTAAAACTTTTACTGCTTTACTAGGCTTATGGAATCCCAAAAACAACTTAGTAGTACAGGGTGGTCATAAATTATTGGACACATTTTACTATTAAATAAATGAATAACCAAGCAACTTAGAAACATGGGAATTGTTTTGTTAACACGTTCGCTGCTGGCGTTGTATTTTTACAACGTGCCTACCCGGCGCCAGGAGCTAGCGTTGTACATATACAACGCTGTGTCATTGTTGTTTAACGTTTCCATGGATCAGCCAGCTTGTCACGAGCGTCCTATATTTCTTTGCAGCTCGTGGGGACGTACTTTTCTGACAATAAAAAGTATAGTTTCCCAAAATCCCCACCAGGGTCGTTTAGAACAGGGCTTTGTCCCCACCTCTTTTCTGCTAGATAGCGACACTACTTTACCGACTGCAACCTGGGTAACGCTACTATCTATCAGAATCGCTTGGTACTATGTCCAAAGCCAGTTTTATTGCAGAACATTGCCATCCAGTATAACTACTGTTGTTTTTACTGTAAATCAGTGTGTCGGCAGCAATGTTTATGCAGCGACAAGCGTTAGTTCAGCTCCTGGCGCCGTCCCGGCATCTAGCTGTCAGCAGCGAACGTGTTAAATAGCAAATTAAAAGCAGTTTTATACAGTAACGGCAAAAAAATAATTATAAAAATGCCTTTACTCATCAAATAAGTTTTAAAAGTTTGTAAAAATCACTTAAACTGTTATTGTAAGTTATGTTTACTTCTGAGGTGAGGACCTTTTAGACTATATGATGGACACTTCCCCTTCGTACCACCATTTTATAGAGATGTTTCTTGGAGAATTACGGCCATACTCTAAAAATGCCTTCTTCAAACAGTTATTACAGATCTGCTTTCATGAAACTAATTAGAACACACTTTGCATTTTCTTGTGCACTAGTCATTTTGATACTGAGGTCGTTTTAATTGTTTATCCTGAGGTTAGTTTAACGTTTTCCAAATATGCGGAGCACTTAAGTGAACAGGGGCACACTTATACAAATATAAGTAGTAACTTGGAAATCTTAGCGAGGGAAAAGAAAGGACAGCGGCTTGACAGACTAGAGGAAATGGCCATATACAAGGATTTCAAGCTAAATAAAAATATTTTAAATTAAAAAATTCATTCAGACGCCAATCCTATATGACACCATTATTCGACTGACAGATAATGCAAGAAGGAGTGAGTGACGTCACGGTTCAAAGTCCAAAGTAGGGTGCTTAAACAAGTCAGTGCCGCCGCAGTCCCGAGCCCGTTCAGCCGTGCGCACGATGATAGTTTTACTAAATGTTTTCGTCAGTGTCGTGTTTTTGTGTTTTAATGTTTACGTCAGACTATGTTTCTCAATGTAAAATATTTGATGCGGTTGCTACACCATAAATGCAACTAAGTATGGAGTAACCTAGTGCAACAGCTGAGCAGAAGATGACCTAAAGGTCGAAACGTGCGTCCACCATAGATATACTGGATTGATTGATGTAAGTTGTAATTAAATTATTATATTAACGTTTGGTTTGTCAAATGTCATACACAGCTGGTATAGAAAGGTCCATTGTTGGCCAGCTGACTATGTCACAACACAAGTCATTGAGAAGAAAATAAAACTTACACTCACAATTTAGGTGATTTTTGCAGACTTTTTATAACCACTTTATATAACTACTGACAATTTCTTAATTATTTCATTGCAGTTACTGTATGAAACTGATTTAAATTTGGTATTTAATTAAACAATTCCCATTTTTCTATGTTGTCATTTAATTAATCTAAAAATGTGTCCAATAATTTATGACCACCCTGTATTACATGACCTTAGTTTCACAATGGATAGCCCAATGGGATGGTTGTAGTACAGCACTGTGCTGCAAAAATATAAACATGAAAAATACAACTCCCTACATTATGACTTGTTTGTTTGATTGCAGATTGAATGGTATGGAGAGTGTTGGTGTGAAGAAGCGCTACATTGTGTATCCAGAAGCATTCAAACGTGCAGTTGTGTTTCATGCACAGACACATTCCAACATGGCAGCAGCACGAGTGTTTGGTGTTGCTCGTAAGCGGGTCATTGAGTGGCAACAGAATTTGAATGTCGAAATGAAAAGTAAGTCAGGATTGGTCTGAGCAATATTAATTTGTTAAATAGTTATGTTTTATGTACAGTATTTTTAGTAGAAGACTATTTTAAATTGTGATTTAATCAATTAATCATTGCAACTCTACACTGATCTTCCTCCGATTTTAGAACCCGAAACCTTTGTAAATATAAAATGTAAATGTAATTTAATGTAGTAGAATGCAGCAAATAGGCCCAACAGTTGTTGTTACCGATAATTTAAATTTTCTTTAAGACCTTAATTAGTCTAATTGCAGTGGCTCATTTGAAAATATAAAGCTAGTTGTGTTGTTTTTTTCAAGTGCCTGCCTAATAATTATTAGTTGGGACACCAATCAATACAACACACTGCAGCAATTCAGCTAGTTTATGTTACCTCTTGCATAGTATTTACTTACTTACTGCCGTGGCTCTTGGTACCCAAGGTGGTACTTTGCCTCACCAACACACTGCCTCCAGATTCCACGATCCATTGCTTCCTCCTCTCTTCTTCCCATTCTTCTCAGGTCTCTTCTCACTTGATCTCTCCACCTCAATTTGGGCCTTCCAGGAGGCCTTCTACCCTCGGGGTTGTTGGTTAGGGTGTTTTTCACTAAGGAGCCCTCTTCCTTTCTTAACACATGGCCTGCCCAGCATAGTGGTGAATAAAACTTGATTTTTTTAAAGAATATTAATGAAGTACAAACTTTATGAACTTTGAAGAGTTGTTATCCTAGCCTAAGTTGTTAATAGCCTATTCATATTTTCAACTTCATCCTTGCAGGTGACGTTACAAAATCATCAAAGTCCACAAATGCCTACAATGTTACTGATGGAACAGTTGATCAACAAGTTTATGAATGGTTTTGTAAACAAGAGATTACGCCTACCAGCAGAGAGGTAAGAGTAATTCACTTTTTAAACGTACAAAATTTGTTAAAAATAAAAAAGTATCATAGCTTTGCTGCACATTACAAATATTTTTTAATGTGGGATCTGAGATAAACGTTCTTTACAAAGCTGTTAGAGGTGAGATTAACGTTCTTTACAAAGCTGTTAGAGGTGTGCAAATGGCTTGATTACTAAGCTAAGCTAATCCTACCCTAAAAATGTTACGTGATTGACTACCAATACAGAGAATCGAGCTGAGCCGACCTGTGACTCTTACGATATTATTGCGGTTGTAGAAAGCATCTGTCAAGATTTCACGTTGGAAAATTCACGATGTCTCAATCGTGGAGATATTAAATTTTGTGCTGATGGCAGGGGATGATAATGATAACCCTGCAATGGCTGGAGATGTTTAAGATATTTCTGTGACTAAGTGAGTCAATAATAAAGTCTCTACGAGTATGGGAGTTGATCACGATTTGCCAAAGTAGAAAGATAATTGAAATGTCATTCATTACAATCATGGTACTGTGTGGATTTCGGTATACAACACATGCAAAGTACTGAAAGTAGTTGGAAAGATTTGGACGTTTATAAAATAAAAAATAACTTTGATATTTACATAGATGCACAATACACCAAATTTATGCTAAGAATAATTACTGCGTTTTACTGGTTACTAAATCAGACATGCTTTAAAACTGTAAAACTACACTTCTAATAATGTGTTTTATAAGTAAACAACGTAACGTAATTATATACTTAATTTGATTAATGGTTTCTGTACAGGTTCGCAACAAGGCTGTAGAACTGTACCGTGTTGCCGGCCACCAGGGTATCCAGTGTGGTGCCAACTGGTACTATAGGTGGCGCGCACGTCACAACCTGCCAGCTTCCCGTGATCAATTCTGTGCCAGTGTCACTCCACTGCTGATCTGGACACTGTCGCAGGTCAGATTATTCTCCAAGCTGTAATTAATTTGATTCTGCCATGTATCGATTCTCGACAATCAATCTTTGATACAGATACCATGTCCAGGAATTGGTGGTACTGTGAATTAACACATTCCTACTTATATCCCCTTTTAAAATTTATATAGGAACTAGCTGTACCCGCGGGCTTTGCCCCGTTTAACTTCATATGTGAGCTCGTTCGCATGGCTCAATCACGTCCTGGTTGAAGTTCGTTCGCTACGCTCACTCACCTTTAGGTTGGAGCTCGTTCGCTGCGCTCACATGTCCTGGTTGAAGTTCGTTCGCTACGCTCACTCACCTTTACGGTTGGAGCTCATTCGCTGCGCTCACTTGCCTTCAGGTTAGCTCGTTCGCTACGCTACCTCGCCTCCGGGTTGAAGTTTGTTCGCTACGCTCACTCACCTTTTGGTTTCAAATTAGCTGTTGTCAAATATTAAAAAAAAATAATAGTGCTGCACTCCGTTGGTAATCCTTGTAACTTTAATGCTATTGAACATCATAGAACAGAACCAACTTGTTTAATTGAAACAGCTGTTATGATTCATTAATTCCATTTAAATATGAGTACTCATTAGGTTAACATGGGAAACTCCAGAGCCACTGGGGCGGAGCCCGAGAGTCCGATCAGAATAAAAACCACTTAGTTTTCCTATTTAATGCCTAAAGAATCAGTGTACCAAATTTCAGCCTCCTAGGAAAATTAGTGGGAAGTGGGAGAATTAGTGATGAGTGAGTGAGTGAGTCAGTCAGTCAGTGAGGGCTTTGCCTTATATATATATATAGATAAACTCTTGTTATGGTGATGATTATTTACTTTTTCAGTTGGACAACAACAAATTTGTCAGTCAGAGTGCACTAGCAGCACAGGCAGCTTCACTTGGGCTTAAAAAGGTAAGAACTGTTTTAAATTTAGCTGTCTCACGAGTAAACGGATACTTAATACCGTAATTAATTAATTTATTGAATACGTACCTAAATAGAATTTTAATGGAAACTAATAATTTAAATTTGAATTTTTCTGGAACTAAAAAACACAATCAGGAGCACAGTAGCCCTTGTTTTGTTAGCGAGTCCATTCCATAAGTAGCTGGGTAGCCGAGTGGTTATTGTGCTTGCCTAACAATCGCTGGTTTGATCCTGCGATAAGTCAGTAGCCAGTTAATGAAACTGGGCCCAGCTGTTCCTGATCATTGGGCTTTAAATAAATGATCCAGGCTAACGAAACAGCTGATCTTAGCCAGTAACAAAGCTACACAGATCATCTCACACCATTCTACACTCATCCTTCACTCATTATTTGAATTAAAATACTCACCAAGGTGGCGACCCCATCTCAATGATTGATATTAATAATATTGATAATTCCAATCTAGATGAGTATGGTACCAAGTTTGTGTACTATAACGTAGCTGCATGATTTCCTTAAAAGGTTGACTACCTAATTGAATCACCGACTGTGAAAAAAATCATTAATCATGTACATTTAATTTTGTTACCCAAAAATTCAAACTTTTAAAAGTTTTTTACTTAGCCAGCTTATACAATACAGTCATTTTGATTTTATTGAATTTATTTTGAACCTTATTTGGTTGGAGAAGAATGTTTCCTAAACATGCTTGGCAACGTTATGTTGCACTCTATGAACAAAAATATTTCACTCACTTCTGATAGCCAGAGAGAAAATATTTGGTAATGAAAGTGTTGTTTGCCAGATGTCTCGGGGGTGGACATTCAGGTTTTGCAAAAAGTACAGTGCTTTACTACAAGCTCTTCCTGCGCCAGAGACCCCTCTGCCAGTAGAACTCGAACAGCTGGTCAGCGAGTACAAGCAGAAACTGCATGACTTAATCAGCAGACAACAGTTGTCAGAAGACTGTATCATAGCCTTGGACGAGATACCATTGCACCTCCTGCCTAAGGGTAAGATATACAATATTGGTAAAATAATTTTATTTTGTATTTGAACTTCTCTGATACACATTTTTTTATCTCAACCCTTCCAACTGGGGGCTATTACCCACTAGTAGATGGCTTAGCAATTTCTGTGGTTTAAGGGAAATATCAATCATTTTTGGTATGTTTTCAACACTGTACTGTAGGGTCTATGATTACGCAGCTTACACCTAATGGTAATTTTTCTCTTCTTGAACAATCGGTCAGGTAGTAGATTATCACAATGTTGCTGAACTCGTAGGAATGTCACCTCGATCACTTAGAGGCGCTTAAAACCTCGATAACTTAGAAAAGCTGAGGAATATTTTTGTATCAGTTACTGTAGATTTAAAATAATTATTGTTGTAAGCAGACAAAGCCAAGAAACCGCTGCTAATAAGACGGCCTGGGTTCGAGTCCTGCCAGGCGACTCTCATGATCTCATGCCTGGCCAATGGAACTCTGCTGCCAACATTGATTGTGTTGAAGGTAATCATTAAAACAACTGTAGCTTAGTTATAGTGCTCGTCAAGGTCACAGCTGGTCTTAGCCAGTAACAAAAGCTACAGAAGGCATCACACTCCATTCTACACTCATCCTTCACTCATATTTGGGTTAAAATACGCGCCTAGGGTGTGTCTTCATCTCAATTGATGATGGTAATAAGTGGTTTTAGTCTGTAACAAAGCATTCCCAATTCCCACTGTTAATTTAGTACCGATTCTTCATTCATCTTCATCTGCTGTATTGACCTTAAATTATCTTTAGATAATAATTATAATTCAGTTGTATCCGATGATTGATGGTTCATAAGAACGACTACACTGTAAGCTTATTATGGAGGTAACAAGTTAACTAACATAGCTATCATAATTCTATGCCAATCCAGTTTTGTTGTTAATGCAAACTTTGTTTTGAAAGTAATTGTATAGCCTACCAAATTTTGGATGATTGAAACAAACATTAGCAATCAACTCCTACCTGGCTTAGGTAACTTTTTAATTTACAAAATATAAACTTAGGTTACACGTTTCTTTGGAAAATCAACATCAATAGTGCATAACACATCGGGTTTCATTGACAATGAGATTTTATCTCAAACCATGCTATCTGAACTAAGAGAATATATTAAATAAATAGTTATTGTAAGCATAAAAACGGTTGCATGACCCTAACAAACATAAAGTGGAAGAAAATTAAAAATAATAAAATGTAACTATCTAAAAGAGGCAAGTTACTTTTTACTCTTGAGTCCCTTGGACAGTAAAATAACGTAGCCTGTTGTAGATATTTAATTGTAAAGTAATCCAGAAAGCAATTGTTTCCTTACTGTCAAATTTTGTCCATAAAGAGTTGTGACCTGTTCTGTAGGGGTCTGGGCCTGGTCCTAACAATGTCAGTGATCCACGAGTGGTAGCGTTTGTTAATGATACTGGACAAGTAACAGACACAGTCGTGCAAGAATGGCTGTCTTCAGTCTGTAACAAAAATCTGTAAGTTTTTACAGTATTAGTCTAGTTTTTGTGCTAATAATACAATATTATGTCAGACCCCATGGCAAATTGTTGCTTTTACCTTTTACAAAATCTTTAAGTTTTCACAATATAAAATTAGTTTTCTCTGCCAACAGACAATGTCCGTACCGATTGGACTTGTTGCTTTTAACTCTTAGCGCTCTGTTGTCAGTCCGTTAGAAAAATCTGTAACTTTGCAGGATAACACAGTTTTTGCGCTTAGTACTAATCGAGTGTTGTGCTAGCCTAGTAGTTAGCGTCCCCGACTTTGGTGTGGGAGGGACGAGTTGGATTCTTGGCTCATCCAAAAACATATGGGTTTGGACTACTTGCCCTAAAGGAGTTAGAATACTCTTTTTCTACAATATCCTCTGAAAACTGTTACCAGCCTAGACAGCTAGAAACAAAACTACCCTTATGATTTTCTTAATCTAATAAGAATTGTAACTTTCAACTTGTAACATTATGTTGATATCTATCTAAAAATATATAAAAAACCATGTAGTATAATGTGATTGAGATGGCGTGCTTACTTTACTCTTCTTTTACTCGGTGTCTAATTTGCCTTCAGTATCCTATTCTTCTAAACGTTAGTGAACTTCTCTATTAATCAACAGGTATCTTAGCCGGTGCGATCCTGAATAGTGTAGCTTTTGGTACTTTGGTATTATACTGACCTAGGGATGGACGAGATTGGATTTTTAGTTCGAGACGAGACGAGACGAGATTTTTTATTTCTCATAAAATTTCGAGACGAGATCGAGACGAGATCGAGACGAGATTTCTCTTCTCATACACAACGGGAAATGCACGTTCGAAATTTTTACCTGATTTTGTAACATTGTTAGATGACTGTTTAAATACTAAAATAATGATAATAGGCAAGAATATTTACAATCTTTCATTAAATAACATCAGCATAACATTTTTTTATTAATCACGCCTAACTTATTAAAAATGCCTACGATTAGGAAACATGGTGATATCAGTTAGGATAGAGTTCAACTTATCCTAAAATAAAATAAATCATAAAATAAAAGCAATATTAATTTTTATAAAATAGTTACTTGTTTTGACTTTTTTATAGTAATAAAACATTCCTCACACTGCTTACACTTAACAAAACTTCTCAAATGTTATTAAAGTAATATTATTAAAATAATGAAAGTAATATTTACATTAAAAGAATTAAAGTAATATTTACATTAAAAGAATTAAAGTAATATTTACATTAAAAGAATTAATTAAATAAGAACGCCTTCGAAAAGGAAACGCAACTACAACACGCTCCTGTATTGCGGGTATTGCACTGACTTTCTGCAGGCGTTTTTTTTTTTTTTTTTTTTTTTTTTATTCTCGTCTCGATAAAAATCTCGGCCAAAAAGTAATCTCGTCTCGTGTAACGAGATTGAAAATTTCCCGAAAATTTCCCGAAATTTCGAGACTTGACCATCCCTAGACCACACCGATAAATTGACTTCCAAATTAGATTGTAATTAGATAAAATAACAATCTTCCTAACCTAACCTAACCACCGTGGATATAATTATTAGGTGTGGTCGGTATAAATAACACCAAAGTACCTAGCTTTTTGATTGTTCAGAACTGGACCGAGCTGCCCTTCATCATTGTAAATAAATGGCCCTAGCCAAGAAACAGCTGGTTTCTCAGTTACAAAGATACACAAGATTATCTCACTCCATTCTACTCTCACCCTTCATTCATATTCAGCTTGAAACACACAACGAGTTTGTTCCTGTCTTAAATTGTTTTAGTACATATTACTGACAGTATAATAAAATTTATAAGACCTAAATCCGAGACCAGTGTACTTTTTAATTTAGCCTAGAGGACACAGATTTTGCTCCAATTGCTATACAGAGGCGATGAAATACTTTTGCAGGCCAGGTGCAGGAGTGGTTATTTTGGACAGCTTTGACAAGCACATGACCCCATCGGTGACTGAGAGTGCAGCATCTCACAATGTTCACCTAGCTATCACTCCACCCGGCTGTGCCTTCAGGCTGTTACCCATCACACACTTGTGCCACACATTCAAGGTAATTTTTAAATTTGTGTTTATCTACGCAATAGGTTTTTTTTTACATTTTTTGCAGAGAAACTGTTAGGGAAACTCCTTTTGTTAGATAGCATTACCATAAAGATTCTGGTTGTTAACTTGTAGCTCACGATTCTCATCTCGGATATGTGCCATTGGCAGGAGTCTACCCCAAGATTCTAATTCTCAAGCACTAATCCGTATGGATCTCACATCTTGGCACAACATAGAAGTCGCAGGAAACTGTGAACAATTTTGACATCTGTCTTATGGAACCCCATTTCTGTGGTGCACCATGGTGGTTACGACCCTATATGAGCGACCCTGGTGGCAAACTACAGAACTCAAATTTCAATAGTTAAACAGTAGGCCTACATTACATTTGCGTTTTATACCTACTTGTGGACATTTAGACTGGGATACATGAGTCTCACACTATGTACAATAGTAGAAATCCCTAATTGGTCGAAAGTTTGGACGTGAGGGTAATCAAGATTGCGGTCTCGAATAAAAAATGAATGAATTAATAAATGGTTTATATACCTTTACTTGTCTGGTGATCCTTGGAGTAGTAATACACTACTGCAGTTTCAGCCCTCAGAGGGCTTTCTTCAGGTGACAAAGGAAGTCAAGTTTTACATTAACCCATTGGCATACTTGGACGGATCATATCCGTCGCGCCGCTAACGAGCTCCTGCATTCCTAGACGGAACCGTTCCGTCTGCTAGTAGTTCGACGTTTATCCGAGGGATCGCAGCACTTGTCGGATCGATATTGTTTGTCTACGAATCTGCATTAGTTTTTGCCGGTTTTTTCAGTTTCGTTCGTTGGCTAACCTGCTTTTGAGAACGAAAAATATTAGTAAACAACAGGTGTGTAGTTTTGAGGTTGTGTTCGCCGCAAAAATGACGCGTCCGTGTTTGAGATCTAGTGAAATTGATAAATTTCTCGATAATTGTGAGTTATCCTCGAGTGAATCTGAAGAGGAAAGTGATGAATTAGATCGTGCTACACTTGATCATCTCTTCACAGTTGATAATCTCTTCGACGATGATGATGAAATCGACCTACCAACATCGGGATCGACTGGTAATAGTAGTAGGCCTAGTAGCCTTGTAGAAACTCTTACTTCACAGAATGATGAAATTGAATTACCTGTTGATAATGTTATTGAGCATGATTCTGTTAGAGATATAATCGAACAGGTTGTTACTGGTAATAGTAGTAGGCCTAGTAGCCTTGTAGAAACTCTTACTTCACAGAATGATGAAATTGAATTACCTTTTGATAATGTTATTGAGCATGATTCTGTTAGAGATATAATCGAACAGGTTGTTAGAGGGGAAATAGGATTGTCCTTAGAAAGCCCCTTTGTGTGGGAAGGTGGGCCTAATGAGCCCTATAACATTGTCTTTTCAGGTAAAGATGTTGGTATAAATATACCAAATAAAGAGGAACTGCTGACAGAACTTGATGTATTTTATACATTTTTGGGGGAAGATTTTTTTGAGTTGGTAACTAATGAAACAAATATATATGCACAACAGTGCTTTGAGGATCCAACAAGAAAAACACTGAAAACAGATGACAAGTGGTTTGACGTCACTGTTGATGAAATGAGAGCTTTTATGTTATTATCGCTAATAATGAGCGTTGTTGAGAAACCTACATTACAGAGCTATTGGACGAAAAGGAAAATTCTGGAAACAAAGATATTTTCCGAGGTCATGTCTCTGAAACGTTACCAAATTATAATGAGGTTTTTACACTTCTCTAATAATGAAGAAGCCAACCCAAGTGACAAACTGGGTAAAATTCGTCCAATCATCGAATACATTGAAAATAAGTTTCTCAAGAACTATACTCCTGACAGAGACATTTCGGTAGATGAAAGTCTAATGAAGTTTAGAGGTAGACTCTCGTATATACAGTTTATTAGAACAAAACGAGCTCGTTTCGGGATAAAGGTTTTCAAGCTTTGTGAGTCTAAGACAGGCTACTGTTCGTCGTTTGAAATATACACAGGCAAGAAAACAATGCCCCAAGGTGTTCTGGCAAGTGAAGAAATTGTTATGAAACTGGCAGAACCATTTTTGGACAAAGGATACACAATATATTTAGATAATTGGTATTCTTCACCTTCTTTGTATTCTAGGCTGTTATCGCGGTATACTTATGCTGTAGGCACTGTAAAGATGAACCGGAAACACATGCCAAAAGTGGATGATGTAGAATTGAAGAGAGGAGAAGCAATCCAGAAGAATAGTCAGGGCATTCTGTTCATGGGTGGATAAGAAAAATGTGAATACACTGAGCACTTTGCATAGTGAGTTGGACTTTCAGCCCACAGGAAAACGTGTAAGGCCTACAAAGAATGATCCAAGCTATGAGGTTTGTAAACCTAAGTTGATTATTGATTATAATAACGGAATGCAAGGGGTCGACAGACAAGACCAGGTGTTAGCTTACAACCCAATTATGCGGCGCTACTCAAAGGGTTATCACAAGATTTTTTTTTACCTTTTCGATATGGTTCTCTTCAACGCTTATGTGATATTTTCTCAGCTAAAGAATCCTAAGAGATACCATTTCTCAGACTTCAAAGTTGCTGTTGCTGAGCAAATGCTGGGCACAGTTACGCTCCCAGAGAAAAAAGGTGCTGGCCGACCTTCGCTGTCGAATCCGATGAGGCTTCAAGGGCGACATTTCCCTGAGACCATTCCTGCTACTGACAAGAAAGCCTTCCCATCAAAGAAGTGCAAGGTGTGCAGTGACCATGGATTGAGAAAGGAAGTACGAGTTCAGTGCAAACAGTGTAAAGTGCCTCTTCACATGGACGGGTGTTTTGAGGTATTTCACACGGTAATGAACTATTAGTAAGGCATCAGTAGCAAAGTGTATATATGTAAATATTAGTGTAGTTTTGCGAAGTACTGTTAGAGATTTGTGTAGTGCAGTACAAAAGTATACAGAACATCCAAGGAGTCCAGCAATGGTGAGTCCAACATTTTATTTTACGGTGATGGGTACTGTTAGTATTTGCAGATTTGTCGTGTAGCTTATATATAGATTTTATATTTATTTATCAAACAAGATTATTTATTTGATGTAGTTAAATGGTTATTATAGTTAAAAAGATTTATGAATAAAATAAAATTGAATTGGTAATATATATATATATATATATATATATATATATATATATATATAATATATATATATATATAATTTCTTTAAAATATGATTTTGTCAAGTATAAAATGTCAGTAATAACATCTAAAAGTTTCAAGGCATTATAGTAATAAATAAGAAAGTTATAGCAGTTTTTATAAAAGTCTACAAAAGTGCCAGAAAAATAGGAATTCCCACATGTAGTCAGGTAGTGTAATATTAGTATGCCAATGGGTTAACATGAATTCGTCATATTGAAACTTCGAGAAAACAACACGGACACGGACACAAACATTAAACGAATACACACATTAGAGTCACAAACATTTCTCTGGCATTGGTGCTCGACGCGTGCTAGGAGCTAGTCTGAACTGGCGTTATCAAGGTTTGCAGTTCCTTGTCCACCCCCTCCCTTATCTTTTGTTGATGATAATGGAGCCAACCGTTCTTACATTAATTTGTATTGAGGTATTTTATTTGTATACAGGTTATGTTGGAAGAGATGTGTCAAGTGTGGTTGTCCAGTCAGACTGCTACTCTAGAGTCTCCCTCCCCTGACCAGCTGTATCTCTGGGCTGTACGAGTGCACAGGCATATTGCTAAACACTATCAGGTGAGTAAGATAAACCATTATAATACACTGACAACCCTAGCTTTCTATGCCAATTTCTGCCTGTACTTACATATCTGATTTGTTATTACCAGTATCTGTCTATTGCACAGTGTTGACAGCTGGTCCATATAGATGGGATGTCTACAATGTCTATAGATGAATAAACATAATTGAATTTCAATGAAATCCTTCGTTGCTCTAGCTTTGTTCCATTAGCGTTCTTTTGGTTTTGTTCCAATCTATGCCAGATTACTGAGTCTCTACCTCTATTTCTTGATATTTTTGTTTCAGGATAAAATGCTGAATGAGTTTAAAAGTGTGCTACTACATGAATCTAGTCAAAGCACTTGTAATTAAGGATTTTTTATTTTATCTACAACTTTTTATTAAAACATTTTTTAACCACTAATGGCTTGTTATTTTTATCCTGTTGATAAGTAACATTTCTCACTAGATCCAATTCAAAGAGTAGTTTCCGTAGAAGTTATTATTTGGTATGGAGATTCACTGGGACACTGATCAGAGGTATGCATAAGTCTTTAGTTTTAAGTTTGACCTTGTCAATCACAACATTCTACGTTGTGTAAAGACAATAAACAATAAACCTTCCTGATTTCTGAATCTGTTTCAAACTACCTCATTTGCTGACTATACAATGTTTGCTGAGATAGCATTAGAATATTTTTACAATATCCTATACTTCTATATGAACAATGTTTGCTTGTATGTATGCTTGCAAAAATATCTCAAAAATGGCTTCGACGATTTCCTCAAACAAAAATCTAATTACGTAAAAAAATTAAATTGAAAGTCAACATTATTTTACATTGGCCTTTGTTGCCAAGTAAGTTAGCCATGTTGGTTGAACAAAATAACAAGGAAAAGGTAGACAAAAGTTATTTGTGCAACTAGTGAGAAAAGTGAGCAATTGACTCACTCGAGAGAAATCCTTATTCTCGAGCCGTAGGCGAGTGAGGAATGGTTTCTCGAGTGAGGCAATTGTACTTTGAACTCGAGTTGCACATTATATTTTTCCTACAGTTACCATAAAACAAATAAATTGGTGAAGAAACATTACCTATTTTTCCACAGAAGTTAACTTTTAATATAACATTTAATGTGAAGTGACAAATACAACAGTACAACAGCTGACCAGCTGATTTACAGCCAGTGCTGCCAACGTATTTCGCGCGCATACGACGTTGCCTGCATGTTACGCGCTCACTATTTCGTGCCTTCACGTTGCAAATCTGGAGTGAGACAAAGTAATTAGAGTGAGACAATGTTAACATTGTCTCACTGATGAGCGAATTGGCCACTTTGCTTTCTCAAATCAGTGAGAGAACATGTACATTGTTAGGTAACTGTAGGAAAAAGACTTGTTATACATGTGTTTATAACGAGCCATCCACAGTATACTAGCAAATTACAATATACAGTACAAAGGGAAAACATCAGTTGTTACTATTAAGCAAATTAAGATTACCCTGAATATTATTCGATATAGGGGTACAATGGAAATAAACTATACCGAGCCATGGCTCGGTCCCCAGGTACTAATGATATGAATTTAGCTAGTCAATAAGGTAATTAATTTTAACTGAATGGCTTGTTTAATAATTAAATTAATGAATTGATTTAGTAGTTTTTGCAACAATTGCGTAAAGATAGCGTTAACAACACGAGTAGAAAATTTAAGGTACGAGCCATGGCGAGTGCCTTAAGAACTTCTAGACGAGTGTCCTTAACACTATTTACGTGAGTTGCGTACACTACTTTACCTACAACAGTGTTTTAATTACTAAAAAAAATCACTAATCTTAACTTCTAAGAGAGGTTTAAGTTTTTGTTTATAACCTCTCACTGCCACTGACAGTGATACAATGTAACATTGTACCAACCACTAATTGCACCACTCAACAATTAAATTGGCTTGAACAACTTATTAGTGGAAGTTCGAATCATTACAATATTACTTCTTCTCTACCAATCCCAACACCCATTACCAATCTCGGAACCTCATTGGTCCGTTAGCCGTGTTCACAGTTGTCCTCTGATATTTTTTCCTATCAGAAGACACATTTAAGCCTTTATTAGTATTTCAGGGAAATATATTCAAATTATATATATATATATATATTTAGAAGAAGTTTATTAAAAAACAGTTACATAAATAAATATTAAAAGCTAAATAATACAAACATTTATCAACGTGTAGTTTATTAAATATGGTTAAGGTGGTAGTATAACGCTGAGTTTTAATCTATGACAGGTTTTGGTAGAGCTTTTATTTCTAATTCTGTGACTAAATTATCCAGAGTGGCAAACACTGCAGTAATTCCATTGATCACCTCCGTATACCTGAAAAAATATTCATGTATGTAACAATGTACTACACTTGTAAAATCAGACTGCATGTCAAAGATCATGGATTTAGAAACCATCAGTGGCGGCAATAAGAGCCCGCGGCCCCGCCCCCCGCAAGTTTGTTTGCTGGGCCCCCCTCTCCCAATAATCTTTAAAAATATTATCACATGTATTACCACCTAAATTTGCACTTAAGCTTGGCACGCCATCTCCGAGGCGTCATCATCATCTTACATGATTGCGGCAAAATCGTGAATACTTCCCGTAGTCATGGAAACATTATCATAGTCTACCGTGATTGCAACCAAAACCTAGGACATCATCAGATAAAAACATCATCGTCTCCCACGTTCACGTCCCAATCTCTAATATTTTACACGACCTGTGGTGACGCGAAAATCATTTTTTCCGCAATCGCAGCAAAATCCTAGATATATCTCTTGCAGGAAAAGAAACGTGAATATCGTCTTCCGCAATCGCGGAATAATATTGAACATCTCATGCGGCCGCGGAGACAATGTCATGGCAATTGCGGTAAAAGCGTAGGCCTAATCTTTCAATTTCGTGAGTGTGATCCTCGCGGACATAAAAGCTTTAAATTGGGACTTTAAAATTGGGCATTGTATTGAGTACTGAGAAAATCCGCTTGATGAGCTTGATTTTCTGACTTTGAGCTTGATCTCTCAAGCTTGTAGGCCAGGCTCTGCTCGGCCTAAAAATCAACATTATATAAGCAAATCCAAAGCCAACCGATTTTGAACCGATCTAATGGAGCTCGAGGCCTATTAGGTAACATTTTTTACCTGACTCGAAGTAAACAAATCTAAAGTGCATACTCCTAATAGTTAGAAATGAAATGAAAATCCTTCCTTGCGTCAATGAAAGAAAGAAATTATTTATTAGCTTAGTGCCCTAGCCACCTAGGTTAATTCACCGATTTTATCGTAAAAAAATTGTCAAGTTCATTTATTCAACTATATAAACAACTTTATAACGATATAAACAACGATGTAGTTCTTTACATCGTTGCATTTAGTTGAATCATTATAGAGCAGGGCTCTGGTTTGACCCGCCGGGGCGGGGCCTAGGAGATCCTCCTAGGCCTGGGGCCGTATTGGTCCTTAAATATGGCCCTATTATAGCGCCTTCACACAGTCCACGAGGACAGTTGATGCAACCTGCATGACTGACGATAATTATTTTACTTCGGTCTAGTAATAGTGTCAGTTTAGCTGTTGTAGGCTACTTGTCCTAGTGCTCTTACTGGGTTTAACAAAATTTTGTCATCAAAACGTATGGTAATTCTCATATAAATATGTTATGTTGTTATGATAGGGCCACTGGAAACCATACAAGGTAAATAGGGGCAAAGAAATTAAAATGAACCTAACTTAAGAAACTTAAATACCTACAATCAATACCATATTCATCTTGCAGTACGGGACATTTAAGAGCTACACTTTTCTTGTAATAGCTTCAGGAATTGAGTGCATATGAAGAGAGATCACATGATACACTGAGGGATGTAAAAGGTTTTAAACTGACAGAATTATAATTATTGAGTGTGCAATAGTCAGTGTGTAGAAAAGCCTCAGTAGGCATAAAAATAATAAAAAAAAAAAATATTATAATTAGGATTACATAGAAGCAGGTATTTACACCAATTTATATATTCAACCGTGCACTAGTTACACAAATAACTAGTCTATATAACTGAGCTTAGAGAATAAGTAAGTTAATGAAAACTATTTACAGTCTACTCAATAGTAATTACCTTGACACAAGGTCTTGTATCCCGTCGTCAACCAACTCATACTTTTCTCGCTGCTCGACCATCGTAGTGGTCAGTTTCGCAAGTTGCCTCAGCAGCAATGGAATGTTACGCAGCTGCTCACTCTCCAAGCTGGGGCTCAGTTCCTTCAATCGGACAAGTTGTCGTGTCACTTCCTCCAGGTGAGACTCCATAGAGAGAATAAAAGCAACTTTTGCAGCACTGTCTATAACCTGTAGAACAGACAAATTACAAGACTGGATATAAATAAAATAAAAATAAATAAGGTCTTTATTCATGAGCGAATTTCAGTTACAAAACTGTTTTACAAATTGACTCAAGTCAGGACTTAAACTAAATAAAACCTCTTATAACTACGAAACAAAATAAGATTAGTTACAAACTCTTTAGGTGATTCTTAAAACTGTTGTAAGACAGTGCTTTTAGCTTGCAAGGAAGTGCATTGTACTGAGCCGGCCCGAAGTAAGAAAACCCCCTTCTCCCAGCATCAAGAACAACCCTTGGTATGTCAAGCAACAAGTCCTGTCTAGTTCTGCGCTCTCTCACGGCTGACCTCGCTTTCAGTTTTTCCTTCAAGTACTGTGGTGCCTGAGTGACCAGTGTTTTGTGGACGATACATGCAACCTGCTTATCACAGCTCTCTCGGATGGACATTGTATTTGAGATCCTACGGTGACTTGTTATATGGTCATATTTTTTAAGTTTGTATACGAACCTTAGGGAGCAATTCTGTAGCCTGTGAAGTATTGTGATCTGTTCCTGTGTTAAGCTGTATCCAAAAACAGGTAGGCAGTAATTTAAAGTAGGGAAAATCAGGGATTTGACCAACCTCAACTTGATGTTTGCTGGGAGCAATGTTCTAAACCTATTAAGCACTTTTAATTTTCCAACAACACGTTTGCTTATCTGTTTTACATGGCTAGAGAATGTCAGCTGTGAGTCAATTGTCACACCAAGAATCTTAATGCTTTTGGAAGTTGAAAGCTCTGAGTTATCAACTGTAACTTTTATGCTATTTTTTTCCAGCTGCTCATAGATTGCTGTATTGGCAAAGTGTATGGCGGAACATTTTTCAGGGTTAAGCTTTAATCCATGATCCTTAGACCATTCACAAACCTTTGAAAGGTCACTACTCATATGCTGTAATGCCTCCCCAACCAAAGTAGGCTGGTATGATAAGAAGATTTGACAGTCATCAGCATAAGAATACATAATCCCGAAATCCAACACTGATTCAATACCTA